TAGGTTCTCAATATTCTAAAAGTTATTCATTAATAATTGCACAGCTTTGTGAATATATTTAAAGTATCATTGAGTTGTATCTTTATAAAGTAGACTAGTTGTGTGGTATATAAATTATAGCACACTAAAGCTTTTTTAAAAAGTAAAATATTTTTTCTTTTGAGACAAGCTCTCATGCAGCCCAAGGTGACCTCAAACTTTCTATGTGTCTTAGGATGACCTTGAATTCCTGATCTTTCTGCTTCTACCTCCTGAGTGCTAGGATTATATATGCACCACCATGCCCAGTTTTATGTGGTGTTGGGCTCTGAACACAGACCCTCGTGGATGGAAGGATGTCAACAATTGAGCCACACTCTCCATCCAAGAAGAGAACAGTTGTTGTGGTTATAGACTATATATATATATATTTGTTTTACATTTCTAGGAATACCATAACAAATTGCCACAAATTTGGTGAACTAAACAAGGAAGATCTATGGTCTCACAGTCCTGGGAGCTAGAAGTCAGGGCTCCTTTAGAAAACTGTAAAGAAGAGTCTCTTTTGCCAGGCGGTGGTGGCACATGCCTTTAATCCCAGCACTCAGGAGGCAGAGCCAGGCAGATCTCTGTGAGTTCAAGGCCAGCCTGGTCTACAGAGTGAGATCCAGGATAGGCACCAAACCTACAGAGAGAAACCTGTCTCAAAAAAAAAAAGAAAAAAAGGAAGAGTCTCTCTTCCATGCCTTTCCCTAACTTCCGGTGTTTTTCCAGAAATCATGGACATTCCTTGGTTTGTAGGAACATCTGTCTCCATCTGGTTTCTGCATTGCACTGGTCATATTGTGTGAAGAACCACCCCAATCAAGTCTTTTATTATTATTATTTTATTATCTCTGTAAAGGCCCTATTTCAAATAAATTCAGTTCAGCAATTTGGAGGCACTGTAGAATAGGACTTCAACATATAAATCTGAGGGGAGGCTCGGGAGGCAGAGCCAGGCGGATCTCTGTGAGTTCGAGGCCAGCCTGGTCTCCAAAGCGAGTTCCAGGAAAGGCGCAAAGCTACACAGAGAAACCCTGTCTCGAAAAACCAAAAAAAAAAAAAAAAAAAAAAAAAAAAAAAAATCTGAGGGGAGGGACACAGTTCTATATAGAACAGACTCATGCAGAAGAATAATATACAGTCGACTTAGATATAGTATCTGTCAGCTTACAATTCACCAGGAGATTATGAAGTACAGCACTATAACCTAGAATTTTAAATACCCGTGGTGTTTTTCAGTCTCTAAGCCATTCATAAGCTTTCAGCAAAGCAGAAAAGATCATTATGAATAACCCAATAATTAAAATGTCATGGTTTCACCTTACCCCCAGTGTATAGAGAAGTGTCTAGGTCAGAGTGAACCAGAGATCTTGAACAACTTTGATGGTTACCAAAGATGGGACTTTCTGACAAGTTATGGTTTTATTTCTTCAACCAGTGCAAACTTTAGTACAGTCATCCATGTATAACTTTTAACGATGATTTTATTGCACTTTTTGAGAAATCAGCACTCTGACAATAATCAGTTCATCTCCAGGCTTTGCAAGTTACTACAAAATCACTTCTCAAGTTTCCACTCAGAAAACATCTATGACGGGTCTCCAAATGGTTTGCATCATGACATATACAGAGACAGAGATGGAAAACTGTCTGGGTTTTCTCATTAGTAACCTGTAGACTGAGTTACATATTTGTCAATGGTCTCAGCTTTCAGTACAGTTGGAGGCCCATCAATCAACACTCCATCAACTACAAGTCCACCATGAGTGTCTTTGATCATTTACCCAAGCATGTGGTTCCAGCATCATTCTCCATGTGTTCTATGAAGTAAAAAGGGTTGGGCATAGTGGTCTAGACAGAGAGTCAGCAAACTATGGCCCACACCAAATCCAACCATCTACCAATTTTTAATATAGCAAATTAAGGAGTGCTTGGGAAAATACTTAGTAATTGAAAAAAAACATGTAAAGTTGATGAAATGCACACAAACTTCAGCATCCACAAATGAAATTTTATTGAAGTATAGCCACACTTGCTCACACCAGTGTTCTCTGTGGATGTTCTTAAAGCTGCAGCAGCACAGTTGAGCACAGCAAGAGACACCATATAACCCCCAACGTCTAAAATATTGAAGGTGGCCCCTTACAAATGAAATTTGCTTCTCAGACACGACTCTGTTCACATGCAGCCATCAGAGGACATTGTTTAAATGCTGATGCTCATCAGATAACTATGGGATAGCACTTGAGATCTGACTTTTCTGTTATTAGAAGAATGAACTTTCCCTCTATCCACTTAGGTTGGACTGAGGAAGTAGACCTTCAAAATAACTTGAAATAGGTAATCTAGAGAAAAAGACAAACATTTGTACTTGCATAGGAGTTACTTGTTCACCGAATGCCTGGATATTAATGTTTCTGTATCAATTTAACATGGTATAGTTGATCTTTCTCATTGGACTGCTGGCTCCCCAAAAGCCACATGGCTTTTTATCTCTCTTCCATTCTGTATGTTTGACTTCCTCAGTGTACCCCTGGCATCTAGGTTCATCCCCCTGAGTTCCTCTCTCTCCTGGAAGTCCCGCCTAACCTCTACTGCCTGTCTATTGGCCATTTAGCTTTTTATTAAACCAATCACAGCAATACATCCTTACACAGTGTACAAATACCCTGCGACAAAAGGGAATGACTAGAGTGTTTCAGGAAAATGTAGAAGGTTCTATTGGTTTCTTGTTTTCACTTTTTTTTTTCATTTTTTGTGACAGTGGAATGGGTAGTTAGTCTTTAAATTTGCAGGGACTCCCTTGGAAATAAAAATCGGGGGTATTTCAGGGAGGCTTTGCAAGTTAGAACAAGCAAATTCAGAAAAGATTTCAAATGTTCTTGCTCTAAAATAATCTTTATGCTAAGATGGTGGGCCCTCTCCCACCAAGTTCCCACATGAAACCATATCCAAGGGTTATAACTTGAGACATGAGGGTCCATAGACCCATCTCAGAGCCCATCTCCTGATGCTGCCATTCTCCCTTGCTCTGTGAGAAGAATACATGATAAATATTGACATTCTTGCAAAGGATGACAGATCGGCATAAAGGCAGTCCAGGGAACATAGTCCCATCAACCCTGTCACTTACAAAGCAATTGTTCCTCCTGATGCCTTCAGCAAACCTCCACAGACTTAGGGCTCCCCAGGCAAGCAGCATCAACACCCTAACTACCATGAGAAAGGACATAGTACTGGCCATCAGGCCATGGCCTGCTGGAGTGTTCATGCCCTCAGGACTTCTTTAGCCTATGATAGTCACCAGATCCTGTCTGTCCACACCCCGATATTGTCCCTATGCAGAGCTGAGTCCCACTGGCTAAGCCAGTCCTGTCTCATTTCTGTCATAAGCATCATATCCTGTTAATCTCAAAAAAGAAAATCAACTTAAAATGATATCCTCGTATCAAACTCTTCAGTACTTTCTGATACTAGAATCTCTGGTTTTGTACCTGCAAGCTTCTGTGGTACTCAGGTAAATTCGGGAGTAACGTTGGAGCCTTTCAGGAAAGCTGCAAGCTCTTTCCCCATAATCCTGAGATTTACAGTGTTAATTTAAATCCCTGAGACATCTGTGACTTTACAGCACCTCAGCCAATTTTTCCGCAAGGAGCTGTATGGGTTCTGTAAGGAATTCACTGCTGGATCAATATTAGCTGTAAAGAAAGAGTTGTACCCAGAAGTCAAAGTATGCACCTTACTAAACCTTGCTCCAGCCATTCTGTGTCATAGCAAAGATGCTTAAAGAGAAGCAGTGGGGCTAGAAAACTGGGGTATGCACACTCACCCACTTCCTCAGGAAGGGAGAAAATGAAACACTCCGTGTTTGCTTTAATCTGAAAATGTGCCTCCTCTATGACATATGACAACTATAGGCGAAAATTATAGTTTCCCCAATAATGGGGAGAGGAAGAAATCGTGAGTCTCCAGAGCAAAACTGTCTTTTTTTTAACAACAACAACAAAAAAAAAATAGGATGCCCAATATGGTAGCCACTGGTCAAACATGGCCTTTGAGTACTTGAAATGTGACCAGCAAGGTGGAGGAACTGAAGTTTCCACTTTAATTAATTTTCATCTAAATAGCCTCACATAGCCACTGATCCCTGCTCCCAGAATGCAGCTTAAGGCAAGCCATTACATTCCCATGGATTTTCATTTCTATTTTGGAGAATTTGAGCATGGATGCTATGGTTTGGATATGATTCGAGCATGTCCCCCAAGGTATCATGTGCTGGTACCAAAACTGCACCAAATGTCCATGACAAACGTGGACAGCCATTAGGTCTTGGGGGCCTTGCCCTCAGAAGAGACAAAGCTAGCTTCATGGAGTGGAGTCATTGCCACAAGAACTGAAATTCTACGGAGCCTGGCCCCTTCCCTGAACATATCTCCTGCCTATACTGCTTGTCACACCCTCCACCAGTGCGATGCCATCTGTCATGAGGCTCCATCAGAGCCAAACAGATGCTCTTACCATGCCCTCACACCTCCAGAACTGTCTGCTAACCATAAATCTCCTTTCTTTACAGTTTCTCCACATCGGGTATTTCGTCACAGCAAAAGAAACCCACCTATGACAGTGGAAATATGAAGTGTGTATGGTTTCGTGAAGTTATTTCACTCTATAAGCCAAGAATAAACAACACAGCAGTTGGCTTTGTAGTCGGGGTTGTTTTCAGATCTTTGATCAAACTTAGAAACTGCCTGCCTTCATCTTCCCATCCTACATTAATGACCCAGCATGAGTGGAAGCCACTTCCAGCACATAATCTAAATGCGTGACCGGCGCCTGCTTCCTGGCTGGTTCCACCACCTGCTCTTCTAATAACACAAGGAAAGAAACAACATTAATTTTCTCTTGTTCGTTTTGGCAATAATAAACTCTTAGTAACCCGAACCACAATCTCTATATTGCCCTAAAGGCTACTTTACCTGCACACGGACCAGAATCCCCCCCGTGTGGGGTCACGGAGCACAGTTGGGTAGAGGAACTGATGGTGCCCCAATACTCATATGACACAGCTCCTCTCCAGGGAGACAGACTCTGCAATCCTTAGTTAATTTAGGAGCAGCAGGCCACTGCCTCCTACAAGGTTTGAAAAGACCTGGCAAGATCAATTACAGAAATGATTAGCATGCAAATGGCACCAGCAGGCTGCAGGCAAGAACTCTCCGAATAAGGACTGCAGAGGCCAGCCCTGTCAGATGCAGCTCACTCGGCTAGAAACAGCAGAAAAGTCATTAGCCTCTTTATGGATGGAAAACATATTTCTCCCACCACATCAAGCATGATACTGATATTCTGGAATCCTTTAATCAAAGGCTGGAGACTGGAAAGTCAAAACTTAACAAACAAAATGAAAGAATGATTACCATTCTGTGAAAAAGACCATGTATCTCTAGCACCTAATGTATTCATCTCCCTGGTATCTTCTTGCTTACACTTCTTAAGTCTTCATCTGACGCAAAGCTGTGGATCTCAGACATGGGACAGTCTCTGCTATCAACTTAAACCAATATTCCCACAGTCCCAGGCTGGCTATTGAAAATAAGGAAGCTGTAATCAATTCTCCATTAGTCTAAACTGACTCAAGCTGAAGAAGACCCCTACTCTGTCCTGGGACTTTCTGAGACTGCAGAATAATTGTGATCCGAAAGGAGAGTGTGTTTTTGCTTTTAATACTAAATTTAATAAATTCCTTCACTGGCAGCAACATGTTAACAACGGCCTGCTTTGTGCTGTGGCAGAACAGAATGTGCCTTACCAAAACGTGGAAGGTTGTTGAGCTGAAGGCATTTAAGAAACAGCAGATGCAAAGCGCGTCCTCCGTTTGCCTAAACTCAAGACACAGATTGACGAAGATAGAAATGCTCTGCCTGCCTTTCTTCCAGGAAGAACACCACCACTGAAGAAAGCTTTAGGTCTTCCTGGGCCTGGAGAAGAAGACACTAGAAGAATCCCCACGCACAGGCTGGCCTATCTTTTATCCCCCACCCATTCACCATGTCCCAAGTTGTCAGCAACAGAAAACTCAGTTCCTTTCTTCTTTATCTTGTTTGCTTGATAAAAAGGTACTATTGATTGCTGAAGATGTTATGTAAGTGTGAAGACGTTATGTAAGTGTGGAATCCAAAGCTGCCTGTCAGAGATCTGCTCATTCTCTAGATGTCTCCATTATAGAAATCCCACTTCAGTATTGTTCCCTCGGTGGCCTGTCTAAGCCCAGATATTAAAGGAGGAAACTATTTCCACCCCTGATGGCATTATCACCCCTGATCTGATTGGAGTGATCTGCTTGCAACACAAATAAATACCTAGTTGTTATCGTTTGGATAGAGAACGTGCCCCCGAAGATCACACACTAAAGACTTAATCCTCAGGTTAAGTGCTGCTAAGCAGTGACTGGGACATATAGTGTATGTGTGTAGATGGATAAATCCACTGAAGAGCTCAAGTGCTATTAGTTGGAGGAAATAAGTCACTGGGTGTATGCTGTCCTGACCCTTCCTCCCTTTCTCTCTCTCTCTCCCCAGTAGGCAGGCAACTCGAGTCTACCATGTGATTTTCATTATCACAATGTCGCCTTACCACTGGCCCAGAAACAATAGAACTCAAAGACAGAACCATGGGACTTTCTGAGACTGCAGAAAAATCTGCGTGTGGTGGCTCACACTTTTAATCCCAGTACTTGAGAGGCTGGGCAGGGACTTTGTCCCAAGTTTGAGGCCAGCCTAGGCTATAAGGAAGTTCCAGGCCAGCCTAGGCTACAAAGAAGTTAGTTCCAGGCCAGGCTAGGAATGTCCAGGGATAGACCAGCAGTTTCTACAGAGTTCGGGTAACAGTCTTGTTGGAGTGAGGTAGTGTATTATTTGGCATCTAACAAGATTTCAACAATATTAAATAACAAAGGAAGGGTGTGAAGATGTGTATAATCATGGAGAGGGGCCATTGGAGGGAAAATACTGAGAAGAAGCTAAACCCAAGAGGACCGCAGGAATGGCGGCAAGGAGAGCAACCGAGGGCTTCAGAGAGAAGCAATCACCTTAGCCCCCCTCTATGCCAGACGCAAACCTAGGATCTGCAGCCGAGGGACACTGAGAACTCACCCTGCACTCTTCCACACGAACGACTTTCCAGATTAACACATTGAATCCTCACAGCAAGCAGATAGGGAAATGCTCATAACATCCACTTCTGAAGATAAGGAAAAGAGAGTGAGGTTATGTCAGCTGCCTTACATAATGAAGATAGTAAGTCACATCTGGACTCAAGTGTGGCATAAAACCGAGGCCCTTCCTAACACATGTCTTTATGACAAAGCTACGGGAGCAGAACCACGCCCAGTGGACTTCAGAGAACATAGAAACAGCTATTTCAAGGGTTATCTTAACCATTTATGTTACTACATTAAAGTCAATTTTGTGACAGCTCTGGAGGATTAAATTAAAGTCAGTTCTGGTATTGATTTTGCTCAGTGTTACCGTGATAAAACTGCAAGGAACCTCTAAGACCATCCGGCTCAAGGCCTTTACCTGTTACTGTAATGCAGAATCTCAAGAAGTGACCTCGTAGTAAGCCAGTAGTTTCTACAGAGCTCAAGTTGACAGTCTAGGTAAAAGTAGTTTTATTTGGCATCTTAGGGAATTTCAACAATATTCAGGAGTACTATTTATTGTTTCAATATCTAAAATAAATTTGGTCTTAATTGAATACAGTCAGGCAATAACCTCAAGGAATTATATTGACACAGAAAGAAAACTAGATCTCAAATAAACATGAGATGTGAATAACAAGTTACAGATAACGGTGAGGTTAATATTGTCTTGTTACATTTGACAACCCATTGAACTTCTCAACTCTGAAAACTAAGTCAATAATTTCGCTTAAACATTTGAACTTGTAAATGTACATGGTTAGGTAAACCTTATGCCCATAGTAAAACTTTTCTTTGTCAAAAAAGTATGTTACATATGACTCTAACATATTTTATATTTGATTCCGAATTGTCTTGATTCAAAAGAGGAACTAGATTCTACCACAGCTTCAGTAATATCTTATTCTTTTCCTCCTCCTTGAGAATTCTGATCTTAAAATCCATCATGACAGTTAGCAAAGAAGATGAGCCACTAGGTATTTCTTCAAGCCTTTGATTTCACATGGATCTCTATAGCTTTAGCTAATTTCTCACAAGATTAATGGCCTTTAACATGACTAATAGAACTTACACAGTTACACGGAGAGATGCCTCATTCTGCCAATTTACATTCAGTTTTCAAAAAGTCATATTCCAACTGCAAACCCATATCATTGCTTTGTATTAGAGTAATAAATTCTGAAATAAGTAGGAGGCAAAAGAAAATAATAACACACTTTAAAATTTAATGTGAGTGTGTGAACTTCCCCAAATACAGAGAATCCCTGCACGATTACAGGATTAGGGACCATTCCAACAGATGTGCCAACAGTGGAGCACGGAGAGATTTGAGTCTTGGATTGTAATTCAGGATACCGTGTTAAGGATAAAATGCAGATGATTGGTTACAAATTTTACAAAGAGCATACAGAAATACTTTGGAGGAGCTGATTCCTATATTGAAACTGAGTCCAAAACCAGAAATATAGACAACTGTCCAATCCAGGAACACTTTCTGTTTCTGTATGCGTGGTGAACATTAATGAACAGAGACACCTATGATGATTATTCTTGGAGTTAAATGGGTTTTACATTCCGTTAATCAACCATATTTAACATCTTGCAACCCAGGAACTCCAGTATGCACGTAGTGGGTAGTTGAAGTATGTTTAAATTCTTTTGACCAGGGAGCATTTGACCACTAAAGCACACACTGGGTACATTTAGACCTCCATTGGTCTAAGAATAGATTTTGAGTATTCTGAATGTAGTCAGAATGTCTGACTTTAAAGAGAAGAGCACTGAGTTCTGAGAAACTGATTGATTTAGCTAGCATATACCAGCCATGTAGACACAACTTGGACTAGAGTCCAAGGCTCTGGAGTGCCTGGTCTGCAGTTCATGGCAGCATACCATGAGTCCACCTTTTGCTCCTTTCCTGGCATGAGCCAATTTAAAAACTGATAGACTCAGCAAAGTAAGAGCTCCATTTAAAAAGAAGGAAAGAAACAACATGAAAGCGAATCCCAAGGTCCCTCTAGCAATTCTTCCAACCAGAGATACACCAACTGCCTTCCCCGGGTCCTTGTCTCCACCCAAGTTCAGTAAATAACTACCATTTCAGTTATAACACTGATGCTCCTTCAACTCTTACGTGACAGAGGAGCTCCTCAGTGATTAGTAGTGGACTCTCTTGTCACATATCTGAATGTCATCAGACAGAACGATAAACACTGATCAGAATAGCCTGGAAAAGATCACAGCTGAGGGAACTGCCTATTGGTGGAGCTCACTAACTGCTACATGGGATCCATGCTGCAGCTGGACTCCAAGCAGGGTTCTCCTGGAAGAGAAAGCAGAGAGAAAGAAAGAACTGCAGAGTCTGAGTCCTAAATTCTGCACTCTGGATCCATCCACTCACTGATGCTGTGGCTATTACCAAAAGACTGATTACATATCCCAAATAGCATTCTGTGTTCAAGATGATTATAATGTTTAAAAAGAATTGACTTACTCATCGAGACACCTAGCTCACATACCATCAATGGTCTTCATGTGGTGTCTCCCATTAAGCATGAGCTGGTCTTCATGCCTTCATTAAGTAAAGGTGATATTATGTGACTCTGAAACTAGACCAGAGCAGCTCTCAGAGGCCACTTCTGATAACAAAAGCCAAATGTTATGCCATAAACGGTCCCAAAGAGCGGCCACCCAATGAGAAACGAAAGAATCCAGTCATAGCCACACAGAGACTCTTTAGTGAATGCCCAGCCTCAGCCAAGCCCTTCAAGACATCCTGAGATAGAACTGTACAAAAATCAATTCAAAGTGGATCAAAAACCTCAATATAAGAAGACCTAGAACTCTGAAAATGATAGAGAAAAACATAAGATAAAACATATAAGGATTTTCTGAAAAAGACTCCAGTGGGATGGAAAACTGTCCC